CTCTTCGGGCCTCCGTCCTCTATCCATTCGCTTCATTCTCCGCCCAAAAGGGAAATATTGCATCTTGCTCAGTCACCACTTGACCGGTTCCGAATATCACCTAGCGTTGGAAACAAGAGTACCCCATATTTCCCTCCGACGGCATCACCTCCAGTTTCACAACCTCGAGGGACCTACGATTCACGTCTTGATGCCCACTCTCTGGCTCGTTACTCTGAGCCACAATCTCCAAAATATTATGAGCAGCAGCGCAGCAAGTCTGACTCCAGAGCCAAGTGTGAGAGTAGCAAGTGGTCGGCTCATCAGCATGTTAGCCGGTATGAGCATTTCTTGGGATCAAGGCATCCCACGCTCCAGTCCCTAGATAGCCGTGCGCGGACTCAGCTTTCTACGTCAAAAGACTCGTCCAGAGATTATTCTGGTCAGCGAGCAACGCAACCTTGCTCTAATGGACCACCTACTCCGGAAGGTTCTGCGGCTTCAGAGGGGGCGCCAACGAAGGGTAGCCTGGGCCCCAGGATCTGGACGGGAACGCACTTCCTGCCTCGGTTTGTTCGGGCTGCTGATGTTCCGGGAGAAGGCATGTGCTATTTCTATGACGACGGAAGCCACTGCAAGACCGTGATCGATGGTGAGGTCGTGAATGCCAACTGGGGTGTGACCAAAGCCGGCAAACCTCGAAAAAGGTTGGCCATAGCCTGCATTACCTGCCGTGAGAAGAAGATTAAATGTGACCCCGATTATCCGAGATGTGTTCAGTGCGAGAAATTTGGGCGTATCTGCAAATTCAAAAATGCGTGAGTGATTATTTGCCCCATCATTTGCCAAGTAGGTCTGTATATGCTGACAACTCATAGGCCAAGGGGTGGGCACAATACCTCGCCTTCAACTCCGCCTGCTGAACTCGATGATAGGCGAAAGATGGTGGGATCGTCGAGACAGAACGACGGGAGACTCTCAACCAATGGACCAACGTCTCCAGTTTCACCGCGGGTTGTTCTGCAGCAACCTTCTCCAGAAACGGGCTTCTGCAGCAACCTTCTCCGGAAACGGGCTACAGCAACAAGAGGCTCAAGATCGGTTCTGATGCATATGCAACAAATGGCGAGCCATCAGTAGCAACGACCCAGCCGATGGATCACTCAAAGTCTTCGCTGTCCATTCAACAATCATCTTCGGAGCTGCCTCGAATACCTGATGATGTGCTGCATAGGGCATGGCGGACGGATCCCTATGTGTCCAATCCACAGTCTATTAGCACAGTTCTTTCACAATTCTTCGGCCACATCGACAACGCTATCGTTATTCGGTTCCTCCCCGAGGATATCTTCAAATCGTGGGTCGCCAGCTCTGCCCATCGAAAGTCGCCAGACGATATGATGCTCTTATACAGCATCTTGGCGATCGGTGTGGTCTTGTCTGGCGGCCCTAGGGACACTGCTTTTGAGTACGCACAAGTCGCTCATTATGCCCATAAGTCCTCAACAACACCCTCGCTTCACCTAGTTCAATCCAGAATACTCTTGGCCCTGTATAATGTGGCCGCTTCTCGTTTCTCGAAGGCCAACGAACTGATCTCCTTTGCAACTGCCACAGGCGCTTATTTGCAACTCAAAGAAGTGCCACAGGCGCTTATTTGCAACTCAATGAAGAGATTGACAGATCGAAGGACGCTGACTTGGCCGTGTATCCATTTGGCATGACTCGAAAGTGCTATGCAGAGACAAGGCGACGAACTTTATGGTCGTTATTTATGCTGGAACGACTAAGTCCGTTATTCCCTAAGAGGCCGACGATGATCCATGCCGAAGATATACACATTCGACTGCCATCTGATTCAGAGAGTTTCGAGAGGCAACTAGATGCACGGATGCTCATGTTCAACCCATACGAAAGTAGTTTCAACAACTTCAACGAGAAGTCGTCCGATATCACAAGCCACCTCGTTGAGATAGTCCATGTTTGGTCATCTTGCCAGTCAATAATTCACAGATTAGCCAGCAGACCCAATGGGTCCAACGCTGAAGGTCTGCAAGTCCGCACTCTTACCAAGAGAATCCACGATTGGCACTCCGCGCTCCCATCGAGACTGTCTTTTGGTGCTTCTAATCTAGAGTTGGCGGCATTTTCCGGAAAGGTCGGATCATTTCTGACTATGCATCTCCTTTGCCACCATGCCCTTATCCAACTAAACCGATATCATCTGTCTGTTGGTAAACTGTCTGCTGAATATCGCTCGAGTCAGTTGCAGGAGTGCCTGGACAGCGCAAGAAATATTATCGATGTTATGGGCTGCCTGGATCGCTTCTTGCGTATTCGACCAACCATCCTGAGCACGCCTTCACCAGCCATGGCCATCACTGTGACCACTGCCATGGACGTCTTGACTTTAAGTGGACCCCCCAGTGTCATGAACGACGTGATCGATTGCATGCGAATCGCTAAAGCGGCAGTGAATAGCAGTGCAAACATCTGGGAACATGCCCAAACTGCTCAGATGGCTTTAGATCAGCGACTCCAAAAGCTATATATAATTCGGGGCCGTGGCTCCAGAGAAAGTTCTGCTAATGACTTCTGTGTTACCAACTTCGCCAGCGATGGGACTAAGCCAGATCACGGGCAGATCCTCCGTCGCTTGGATCAGACATATCCCATCGGTATGGATGTGGTATATTGCTCTCAATGAAAATGTCGCATCAGCGAAGTATGTAGCATGCAAGTACTTGGAAAGGATGGTCCCTACATGTTGTGTCTTGTGTCCTACCCGTGTGGCGTGATCCATGGTGTACGGTGGGATATTAGTACTCCAAGGGTACAATGTGACGATGCCAGAGCGACTGTGGAGTAGAAAGAGTTGGCCGAGATTTCCCGTAGGTGATGAACGACACTGCAACACAACCTGCAAAAATCAGGAATTCGCGTGTCGGGCTTTCCAGGCTCGTTTTTCGGGCAAAATAACCACAAATTAATCGAATTTTGGCGATTTCCTATTGATGAGGTTTTTATCGGCTGTGTTGGTGATGCGAACTGCGTCTGACCATCGCGTGTCATAACGAGTTCTACAATGCTAGGTGGTCGGCTTTAGATGTGTTCTATTAAGCTGTTTAAAATGGCCAGATTACGATTGCGATGATCGTGCTTTAGCGGTTGCCCGCGTTGCGCGACCGTAGCGACTCAATCGAGGAATTAAAGGCTCATCATCGCTATCTAATGTCGGACCCCGTGACCGTTTCCTTGCGGGCTGGTGATTCTGATGGGTTTCTTCTTCCTGTAGAGCTTCCTGAGGGCCCTTGTCTGCTGAATCTGTCTGAGGTGCGTCGTATTCTAACTGTGCTTCTTCTTCCTGATCTCCTTGGTGAGCCTCTGAGTCGCTCTCAGCGGCTTCTGCCGGCGGAAATGCTTCGAGACTAATAACCTCACGAGCCAACTCTCCTTTGACCTCTTCTATATGGTCTGCTAGTGCTGATTGAGGTGCCACTTCTATAGAGTCGCCGACCGATATGTTTGAAGTCGTTGGTCGGCTTCTTCCTTTAGATCTGACCCGAGGCTTCTTTGGCTGTGGTTTTGGCTGATCCCCTGTAAATCGGATATCAATCCAGAGAACAACTCTTCCATCTTCAATAGCCCAAGTGTAATTAGCGTCAGTATTGAAAATATCGGCTATTGATTCGAAAGGCTCGCGTTCAAAGGCAACAGAGATAAAGGTCCCTGTCTCTGATTTGCCAATTCTCTCAAAAGAGACCCCAAATACTATATTTGGTCGATCGGTCGCGTTTGAATCTTTCCAGAGGTTGCTAAGGTAATTAGAAGTAAAGTAATCCTTTGAGATTGATCGTAGCGTGTTCCAAGGAATAAGAGGAAGATCTAGGCCACCTAAATAGCAGTTAGTAATAGAAATTATACGCGAAAGTCTTGTCTTAATACCAAGTGAAGTTGTTTTTTCGGCTTTAAAGAAGCCTCCTCTAAGGTTATAGCCATCTGAATGTAGGGCTTTTACCCGGATCTTTAAGCCAATTGGGTTTTCGAAAGGCGAGGCTGCTTTAGCTGCTCTTGTGGCCTGATTGGCTTCACGCCTCATCTGCTCAAAGTGCTTAAATTGCCTGAGATTGACTGATCGACCTAGAGCTGATGAGGAAGATGAAGCGGGAGATGCAGACCTCGTGAGATCAGACAGAGCTCTTCCTTGCGATGTAATATAGCCGGTCGTCGAGGATAAGGATCTTACTTTTGGTGGGTGAGCCAATGAACGATAATTTGAAACTGATGTTGGGGGGTGTATTGTGTGTTCTCCTTTTCTCTCCTCCAACCCATTTCATGTACATTCCAACCCCGTCACAATATTAGTAGTATCCACTACTCCATATCGTTGTATGCATACACTCCCTGACACAGGTACTTGCTCATGCCCCTCGTTTTGCAGATTTTAAATCCCCGTCCTCTGCCATTTTCTGGCACCCCCCATAGAACAACCACGTATCATCTGATCGATACTGTATCCATCGTTGCGATACGCATAAGAACTTCGACTATGCGTTGTCCTGCGTCTTGAATTCGTTGCCCATCTTTAGACGGAATTTCCAAGCTAGCCACATCCATTCAACATCTTCCATGTTGGGAAGGATTTAAGCATTACCATTGAAGATACACTGTAAAGTGTACTTCGGTTTATATTGGGAGGCAATAATGCTTTTAACTAGCTCTCCCGGGATTGCCTACAAACCAGCATTAATATAGGGCGGCCAAATATGTTTCACGATCGCTTTCTCAACCAGGGATTATGGTGAGTGAGTAGTCAAGATTTAATTATAGAGCATTAAGGAGGTTCTCAACGCTTGCTAGGTAACTAAAGTGGAAGGTACCTGCAACCATGTACAAGTTTCCTGCTTCCCCACTTATCATCCTTAGCCAGCCCATTTTATGAGTCTTGCCGTTGTATCCCTTTAGCTGCTGAACTGTACCCTTTTAGCGTGGCAGGGATCATGGCCAATCATATCGCAGCATTCTCAATTCTGTACTTCTCGATACATACGATGCCACTGATCCCAACAATCACCCTCTTTACACAGAGGCACGTTACACTCTTCGCAACCATATATGTTCTTGCACTTCCTTTCAACTCTTTGGTGCGAGTAATCGATGGTTAGAATGGCCTTCCGTTTAGTAGATGAGCAGAAGGCACACCACCCCCTCTTAGATCTGTGTACTCTTAGGTGTTTTGTTAGAGGAAGAAGAGGGCTAAGGTCCTGAGAGACACTTACAGGCTGGGATTTAAATGATACATTCCGACTGTAATTGAGGAAAAAACTTTCACAAAGAAGATGCCTGAAATCAAGATGGTTTTCCTTATGGTTTTGGCGCCACAACTGATATGAATTGGTAATACAGACCTCAAGCAGGAAAAGAAAGGCAATGGCCCGCCAGCCTCCACGTCTTGTTCGTCGATCCCAGTTATATGAGGCCCTTAACCGATCGCCAATGTCGACGCCTCCCATATGATGGTTATAATCATCAATGAATTGTGGGATAGGTAGTTCCTCAGAGAATTCCCCAGCAAAAGGAACCCTTGCAGTCTTTGCAGAGCTTGATGTTGTGGAAGGACAGCGTCGCATACGTGGGATGTCTTCCTCTAGGCCATCAAAATACGTTGAGAGAAGTAATACAAGAGCATTATCTTTCCAAGCAAAATGCATTACTTTCTGGTCTTTTGTGGGCCGAGAATAAGTAGTCCCCCAAGGAATGAAGTCCTTGCGATCATCCTCCTTCTTTAATGATACAAACTTATTCCCAATACCACCTCGAACTCTCGTTGTACCAGTTGTTGCAGTCCCGCGCTCCCGGAAAAGCTTGATAAGAGGAATTGTAACAAAGAGGTTATCCGCGTGGTAACCATGGGCTGAAGATGGCGGAGGTGGGAGTTTGGATAATAAGTACGCAACCACAGCCTGTGTATTTGCAAGAGGCTTTCCAGCAAAGACATGAGAGGGCACTCCAACAGACCCATTGCCTCTTTCATGCCAGTTCCATTGAAGAAAGTAGCCTTGTTGTGCCATGACCCAGACCTTGAAACCAATTGGAATTGGCTTATATGGCATGCGTACAATCACCTTGCTTTTGCCACTGAATGGGACCATAGCTTCATCAATAGATTTGAGATCCTGGGCGCCAAAGAAGCATTGCAATGCCTTGCATATGTAGATTCCATTCATCTACTTTGTCCCAGACTGTGGTTGCAGAATTAAAAGAGTCGTGCAAACAGAGATTCCGCAGCAGGAGAAGAAACCGATCTCGAGAGATAACGTAAGTGTCGGTTCACAGGCTGTAATCACAAGCTACTGCAGTAGTCATATGATCATTGTTCTTCTTGTGCTTGTTCTAGAGCTTCAGGTTCAGGTTCAGGTTCCATTCCTACTCGGTTTTAGCCGCCACTACAGCAGCCATGCCCGGTAAGCAGGTCCCGGCTGACAGCCGAAGCATCCATCCTGTGAATACCCCACTTCGCCTTCTTGTTGAAACAAGGCCAGCCGTCCCCAGGTTTTCTGCCCGCTAGTCCTTACTCTACTTTGCTATATACATGTCTTCTGTTGGAGAATCCCATGTGATATCCAGTCTATTTCATTCCTCAACTTTCCCATATGTTTCCTTGAAGGTTTTCTGTTTCATATCCTCATGTTATGGCTCCATCGGTGCCCAAGGGCACCATGTAATACGACCGTGATACCTGCAGTCTCCCCCAGCCATCAGCTTCATCTGTTTGCTGGTCTCCCCCATGCCCCTAGGGTTCTGTTAGTGCTCTGTGTTTTGTGCGTTTCTATTTTGTTGCCTCCGACCGGGTTCCTATGTGGCCATGTGTTCGTTCCGTTAACGCAACCACTGATGACGCTGACCATAGCCAGCATCATCCACCTCATGCAGTGCAATGCTCCGCTCGTTTCGACATGATGAATTACTGAGTATAAGAGCTCCCATAATACCTCCTCAGACCTAGTTAGCCGAGCGGCAAAAGGGGACCAGTCTACTACCGCCCTGTTTTTCTAGGGGGAGGGGCGACAGTGGGCAAATCTGTCTGGAATCCATGATATTTTGTGGTCTTTCTGTGTGGCATGCCAGGTACCTAATGGTTGGACGTGCGGAAGACAATACCGTTCTGTTCAGCATGTCGGCGTAGCGGGACGTCGCAAACGTTGACGAGAAGATGGGCCGAGCGGCGAAGCACTGAAGACCATAAAAGTCGGGGTCCAAAAAGATTGGCGTGCTCCGGGTGACTCTATGGCAGCCCGCTTGTCATTAGTCCATCTGACCCATTTTGTAACTAGCCATGTGGGTATCCATTTTCGCAATAAAGTCCAGCCGTCAGATCCGACCTCCTCAATTGTTGGGTCAAACATCAGCTTCCCTATCGGAAGCACGCTGAATCTATCAGCGTCCCTATCCGAGGCTTGTGGTGATCGGGCGTCCACCCCATGTAGGACCACGTTGACACACCGTTGACCTGAAGTTGCTGCTCGGCCAGTTGGCGCCAAGACGTGGACGATTAGGCCCATGGCTTGGAGCCTCATAACAGCAGCCTTCAGGACGGTGGACTTACCACATCCTGCCGAGCCTGGGAATCAGATCGACCACGTCTTGCTGCTCCTGGCACAAGTTGGGCTCGGCGTTATCGAACCGTTCTTCCCCCCCCCCCGGAGCTGAGCAGTCTCCTTGGTTCGTATGTGGCTGGACACCGTTGCCTGCAATTTGCAGCAGTTTGACCTGTTCATCTGCCGACGGATGCGCCCGCTGCGCATCGATAGAGGTAGTTACGCCAGTTTCGTTCCGCGCTTCTCTGCTCGATAGAGCTGCGACAACTGGGTCACCAGAGTCAGAGTCGAGCCAGCCCCAGCTGTAGTCAGTATCCGACTCGGAGGCAACAGCTGAAGAGGCACAGCGCTCACCGTCCGGCCCCGCATCCTCTTGGTGGCCGGCCGACGCCATGGAGACGGTGACTCTGCCTGAAGGTTTTGTCGCCGAGCTTTATGAACTGATAGCGTGTGTGTTGAAGCGCTGGTGTCGTCGATAAGCTAACCGTGGCTGGGGACGATGTCTGATGTGACGGCATCGGCTGCGCCGATCCAAGAGGAATGAATCTCGCTGGTAAAAAATACAAAATGTATGAGAACAGCGAACGCACGATGGTGGAGTAGAATTGCAATCACTTCTGTGCATTGCTATAGGGACGGTCTTGTTCCATTGCCTTCTGCATGTTTCTGGCACTTTGTTCGCGTCCGGCGGAATAGGGGAGAATGAGGACTCTGAAGGGTATTGAGACCAGTTCTGGGCTCCTTTCCCTGCCCGGACAGACCAAGCAGAGCCAGTCAAGCGGGTATGAGAACAACACATGGGGATGTATAGCGTCGAAACTAAATAAAATCGCCGATTAAACTGCACTGAATATATGTGGTTACTTTTACTCTCCTAGTACATTGCCTTAGCGCTGCATTGACCCCAGATTCGTGATGAGGTGTTAGTGTGAGTATTCGGGATTGGGCCCAGGTGGGCACCGAACAATTCAGGACTGCACGTCTGACGGCGGTAACCACATCAATCAAGTTGAGGCGTGGCACGAGTACCCCATTTCAAGGCCAACCAACTGTTCACTCAGGAAATGAGAATGCGGGACGTGGATAATTAATCCAGGAATCTAGATATTCGTCCGAGTACATGCACCATTCGAACACGACGCGGTCGGGACGCGACACGCGTAAAGTGGCATTCAACCATCCAGTGCAAAAGCGACCCTCTGGCGTCCGTGACCTAAAAATATCCGTCTTGCGGCTTTAGTCAGTGCCTGTCAGCGAAGAAACTGGTGGTTTTTCTTTGTAATTGACTTTCCAGCATGAAAAGTCGTTGTGTTGCTTCCTAGAGCGCTTTTCTTTTCACCCTTCTCGGAGAGAGGGTTCAGCTCTTAGTGGCAAAAGTTCGCCTACTGATGCCGCAGCTCACAGAAGATGCGGAGGCAACAAAGTTGGGAAAAAAGCTGTCAGTAACAAACTAATTTGGCTGATAAAGAAAATAGTTTACCCAGCAGCAAACTTTGCAGCACCAGGATCTGTATACCTGACATGATGTTAATTTGTTTGCGTGTTTTTCCCATGTTGCTAGTTATTAGTTCTTACCTATAGTTAGTTAACTATTGTAGTTAACTATCCTATGAGGTGAATGTGTGTGTGTGTGTGTGTATTTTCCGTCCAGCGGCCACAGGCCGCTCAGGTCCCCTACACGGGGCACAGGACGTGCTAGGCTAGTGACTTAATCTACAAACTGCGGGTCCCATCCTCAGACGCGACTCTATCGCAACGTAAACAAAGCACCATCTAGCATGGCATCAGCTCCAAGGCGCTCACAGTCTACTCTGATACCCGTCAGCGGGTTGTGCAGTTGATGTATCTGGAAGACCGCAGGTCTACGGTATTCAAGGGCGGCATGCGCGGACAGGAGGTGTTGATGCCACCTTCCGCCAATCGCAGCCAGTGAATGAAGAACAAAGGAAAAATTGGCATGGGGATGCCGTGATATAAAGCGTCGCCTAGTGGCGAAGGCAAATCTTCTCGAAGAAGGAGTTAGCATTCGCCAGCTTGACGAATTTGTCAAAGTCTTTGCCTATTGCTTGGTTGATCACCGTCGGTGAGGGGGCTAACCTCATCCGATGACGCGGTTGGATCTTCCTGCAATAGAAGAGGTGCGTGGGCGCCTTCCGCCGACCACAGCTACACGTCAGCTGTGCGTCGTGGTGGTGTGATCTTTCGCGGTAGTCAGCAAAGTCGCCATGATGGGTTCTCGCTGCGAGCAGGTGGTGAAGGGTTGTGCGTGGGAGAGATAGCTCCTGTGGGCAGCGATGAGGGAAAAGTAGGTTCAGAGTTTTGTACTTGTCAGGGGCAGAGATGTCCCACCAGGCTTGGACTACGTCTTTGGACCGCTGTCTAGCAGTTCTACGCAAGAAGGCCAGTGTTGGGACAGCGTCGGCGGGCTCTGGCCGGGAGCAGCCTGCTTTCGCCAGCGCGTCAGCCTGCTCGTTACCTGCAATTTTGGTGGGTCCGGGTATCCAGCGGACTTCGGTTTGTCTGTGAGTCTTCGCCAGGGCTTGGAAAGTGAGGAAGACTCGTTGTGAAGAGTCCGAGGGGTGGCCACGGAGTCATCTGGCGGCTGCAATGTTATCAAGGCAAACAGTTATCTTCTGAGAGGCAGATTGTGGTAATCTCAGCGCGGCCTTCAGGCCTTCAAATGCTCCTTTCGCCTCAGCGTCGAATACTTCAGCAGGGCCGAGGCGTCCTGCACCTTGACAAATAGAGTGGTCGCGTTGATGAACGGCATAGCCGTATCCGGCAGCGCCCTTCTCGGACAGTGAGCCGTCTGAGTATACAACTAGAGTAGATGGAGGGATGGACTGGAGCCACCTGTCAAAGTCCTCGGCGGAATCTGTCTTGGATGCAGTTTGTAGCGGCTGCTGTGTCTCAGTTGTATCTACGCGGGAACAGCACGGGGCGTTGGCAATTTGCCAGCAGCTTGTCGGTTCTTCTCAATCGAGTTGGGAAGCTTTTGGGTTGACGCTGGTATCTCAACTTGATACTCTTGATGATGGGCGGTGGCGTCACCTCGGCAGTGCGTCTAGCTAGAGGATGTTCTTTATCCAGGGACTTAATACGAGCAGAGAAGCGTAGTCGTTTCGCCTCAAGCAGCTGGAGAATCGGCGGTATGCCGCTTTCTCGGTGCAGAACTGTGATTGGTGTCGTCTTCCACGTCGGGAGGATGGAGCGGATGGCTTGTTTGATGGCCTTGGTCATTTTCTTTACAAGTTGTTGGATTCTGGACGGTCCTTCTTTCGATGGCTGTCTCCAACGCGGGCTCCGTGTGCCCGGGTACCAGGCTTCCGTTCCAAACAGCAGGACTGGTTCGACACAGGCTCTAACAGGCCTTTGTACAGCGCTCGGCAAGGGACCACATCGTGTATTGCCTAAGCTCCGCAGGTGGCAAGCCACCGCTTGGGCCGTGGCTGTCCACTTCTCAACATGAGTCTTGAATGCTAGTTTGCTGTCAAGCCAGATTCCCAGCCAGCGCATGGCCTTTTCCGGGTGCTTTACCGCGTCGTCGTGCCGGATGGGCGGCATGGCTTCCCGCGTCTTCAGTGAAAAATGCATGACTTCTGTTTTGTCCGGGTCAGATGAGATGCCGTTGGCGGCGCCCCAGTCTTCGAGCTCTCGGATATACGCCGACGCTTTCCTGGCGGTTTCTTCCACAGATTTCCCTGTACAGAGAATGGCGGTATCGTCTGCATAACCAAACCTTCTCTCGGGGTCGCCCAAGCGGTAAACCGGCTCGGTGTATAACAGAAATAAGATCGGGGATACGGGCGATCCTTGTGGAAGACCACACTGCAGAGGTGTCGTCGGTGTGGTGATGTCCTGATATCTCACCCGGGCGGAGCGGCTGCTCATAAACGAGCCTGCCCAGCGCGAGAGATTGTCGGGCCAGCCCTGTTGGCGAAGCCGCAAAACGAGGCGGTTGCAGAGAGCCGAGTCGAAGGCACCTTGGATGTCGGCAGTCACCAGTGTGGCCACTTGCCCGCGTACGAGCGCCTCCTCGATGTCGTGGACGAGTGCTGCGACCAGGTCGACAGCTGATCTTTTTGGAAGAGCTCCAGCCTGATGAGGATGGAGGACCCCGTAGTTTATCGATGCCCATGCAATACGGCGAGCGAGAAGACGCTCGAGGCCTTTGCCGAGACAGGAGAGGAGTGAGATGGGCCGCCATGCCCTAGGCTTCGACAGATCTCTCCTCCCTGGCTTGGGAATCATGACTACTTCGATTTCTCGAAAGGCTTTCGGGTGGTAGCCTGCCACAAGACATCCCTGGTAGAGGCGTCGAACGTGCCCTCCAATGATGTCCCATACTGCTTGTAGCAGCTTGACCGTGATGTTGTCTGCTCCGGGTGAGGTGTTCCCTGTCTTGATAGTGGCGTCCTCCACCTCCTGTAGTGTGATTTCTTGCCCAAAGGGTATCACACGAGTTGGGCTGACTGGAATCCATGGATCTGGGATGTCATCTGCTGCAGTGCGGCGCTCGAGCGTGCTGTGTCTTAAAGCGTTCGCTTTGCCGAGTTGAGTTTCATACACAGTGTCCCCAACCTGGAGAGGTGGTGGTTGGAATTATCCCGGAGCCTTGAGCCATCGGACTGCCTTGAAGACTGATGCACTGTCGGAAAATCCGTCGATGAGGTTGCGCCAGCACTGACGTTTGGCACGGCGAACCACCCGTTGGGAGTCTTTTCGCGCAAGTTGTACGTCCCGATTGAAGCCCAGTGGGAAAATCCTCCTGATGGCCCGGTACTCCGCAGCTGCGCCGGCACATTCCTCGGTCCACCATGGCGCACTCCGGGTCCCCTTCCGGACAGGACGACCAGCGGCAGTGGCTGCCGATTGGAGAAGTTCAACCAGTGCCGTAGCCAGATTGTCCAGCTCCGAGACTGTTGCATTGCCTTGTGGTATTCGCCATATTCCCGTCAGAACGAGTTCTTTAAAGCGCTGTAGTTCGTCTTCGGTGGTGACCCGGATCTTGCCTGGCACCTGCGGGGAGCTGAAGGCAACATCCGGCAGCGTGAGGCTGAGGGTGAAGTGATCAGAGCTGGTGGCTAGGTGGTCCTCTACGACGGCGGCTGCCAGATCAATGTTAGAGAAGGCTAGATCGATTGTGTTGCCGTGAGGCTTTGTGGGCACATCTGCAGTATTCAACAGATTGAGGCCGTGTTCAGCTGCCCACGCGGCGATGTCCTCTCCGCGGCCCTCTAATCTGCCCGTTTGCCAGGAGTAAAGCTTGGCATTGAAGTCGCCCGCTACCATACACTTCTCCGGCGGTGTCCACCGCAGCAGAACGTTCAGTGCGGCATCGCCCTGGCGATAGAAGTTTACGATGGTCGCTCCGTTGGCTGATATCCAGAGTATGTCGCGGGTGAGTGCTGGACGCCTCTGGTCTACTAGAATACGTGAGTTCTTGCGAATGTATGTCATGACCCTGGGTCGCGTGTCGTTGCCGTCCCAGCTGTCGACCGGGGAGAAAGATTCGAACGCTGGATGCGTCTTCGTGAGACATCGAGAGTTCTTTGCTTCTGTCCAAGGTTCTTGCAGAAGGACGATATCATACTTTTCCGAGTCGGCCAATGCTAGAGCGCAGTCGTGGGCGGCCGGGATCTTGCCCACGTTCGCTTGGAGGACCTTGTATGTTCTTGGCCGTCTACTCATGGAGAGCACGGGTTGGTGTTTGCACGTCGCCGTTTAGGTGACGTCGGCAGTGGTCGTCTTGGCGCTGCTTCTGGTCCGAGTCCCACGGCTCTGGGGCGCATTGGGGATGAAGGCGGCAGAACTGGTAGGGTGCACGTGAAGAAGTTGTTACTCAGGTCTTGAGGATTGACATGCTCCCGGGGCGGTTCCATGACCGCCATTGGAGCACGCTGCTGTTCTGCCACGACTTCTGGTGTCGGATGGCCATTAGGTGCCGCCTGAGGAGGCTGTCGTTGCGCGGCACTCTCTTTGGCCGCGCCGGGCAGGCTGCGAGGTTCGCAGTGTGCGGTCCGAGGCAGTTGGCACACTGCTCGGCGGCAGTGCAGCTGTCACTGTCGTGGTTAGTCTTTCCGCAGCGTTTGCATCGTGTTTGTCTGTTGCATGCATGTCGGGTGTGGTAGTCCCAGCAGTTCTCGCACTGTTTGGGAGGGTTGGTTCTTTCGATCAGTCTGGCTAATCGGCTGGTGCCAAACAGGCTCCAAGGTCCTTTTGTTGGTTCAAGAAAGGAAATGATGAGTGTTTTGTAAGGGAGTTGTTCATTGTCGCGGCGAGGGACTCGGACGCTGACCGGCGTGAGGCCTGTCTGGTGGTTGATCTCGTCGCGAGCAGCAGTGTCGTAGTTCAGTTCATTCCCATAAAGGTCGGTAAGCCTACGAGGGCAGTTGTCTACAGCATATGTATACCACTTCTGGCTGGTCTCTACGGCTGTTGCGCCAAGGTCTTCAGCCCATTCCGCCCGGCGTTCTACGAGAAGATCGCGTGTGAGCTTGTCTATGGCTCGAATGGCCCATCCAGTATTTACTTGTAGGACTTGGGGGATTCGATTGAGTTCAATACCGGTCTTGCTGGCAACATGAGCGCGGATCGCGTAGCCGATATGGTTTCTGGCCGGGGCATCGGCGTCGAGGCGGACGAATACCCGAAGATCGTCCCGGGGTGGGGCAGAAGTCGTGGGTTGCCCTTGGCGATGCGTGGGAGCGGGTTGGCGGTGCGCGTAAAGAGTGCGAGGAGGATTGGAATAAGCAGCGACACTACTATAGGTTGGCGAAGAGGCGGATTGAGTATTGCTGAGCGTTTTCTTCCAGAATCCAAGGAAACTTTCGGAGAATTGTTGGGCGAAATCGCGTTCCGGTCCGGTTGCGAATTGCTTGGCAGCCTCGTTAAAGTGTTCACAGAAGGGTCCGGAAGACTTGAAGTTTGACGTTGTAAGCAACGACTTGCTCGTCGACGACTGGTCAGCTGCTTCCGTGATGTCAATGGGTGACTGCTCCTCAGGGATGATCGGTGTTGGGAGTGTAGGGAATTGGTCAAGCTGCTGCCCTTCCGCAATAGCAGCATTGCA